CAGTTATTTTTCCCCCCAAAGTGGCATGCTAGTCTTTACCCTCTTAAAATTTGATATGTGGTTAGGGCAAATGTTTCTCACCTTTTTATAAAAAGTTTTCAAATTTTTCTTTACTATTCTTACATATTGTCTTATTGTTTCTTTTGCTGTGAAGAAACACCATGACCACAGCAACTCTTATGAAAGAAGACATTTAATTGTGGTTTACTTACCGATCAGAGGTTTAGTCCATTATCGTCAAGGTGGGAAGCAAGGCAGCATGCAGGCAGACATGGTGCTGGGGAAGGAGTTTCTTGTTGCTACATGTTGATATTCAGGTAACAGGAAGTAGACTATGTCTCACTGGCTGTTGTTTGAGCATGCATGAGACCTCAAAGCCCTCCTCCAATGTAACACACTTCTTCAACAAGGCAATACCTACTTCAGTAAAGCCATACCTCCTAATAATGCCACTCCATTTGGGGGGCATTTTTGTTCAAACCGCCACATACATTGTTTAGGGTTTTCTTTAGATGAATTTTGGGATTAATTTATCACACTATAATGGAAGTGTGCTACATAGATAGTGAAAAGTTCCATGACTAGGGAGGTAGTAGGTGCAAGGATGAGACAAATTCTTGAGAGATAGTTTATCTTGAACAAAAGGTTTCTTGTCTGAGAAAGGAATTACAAGCATGGAAAGATGAAAATAACTCATTTTGGGCTGGAATTGGACTGATAAATATGGGCTTTGACAGATAACTACATGTGTAAAAATAGTTAAAAGAATGGTAACTATGCATATCACTTTCTAGCTAGAAGTACTGACATCTTAGTTTCAGTCCTAGGAGCTAAATCATCTTCCTTGAAGAGGAATAGTCTTTAGAGAGAAATGGGTACTTCTAGGAGTTGGAGCAGGGAAAATACCAGATAAATTTGAAGCTTCTTTTGCCAGGAAATGGACAAGTTTTTCAAAGATTAGAAAATGGATGAAGAAGTAATGCTTTGCCTGTTGACAAATGTAGAAGGAATGATAGCTAGAGTATCACTACCAGGCAGGCATCATAGAGATGGGGATCATCTTGATGTTTACTGTGAGTTGACATTTGACAAAAAACAAGTTTTTATTTATTGTACAGTGTTCTGTCTGCATGTATCCTTACAGGCCAGAAGAGGGCACCAGATCTCATTATGAATGGTTATGAGCCATCATGTGGTTGCTGGGAATTGAATTCAGGACCTCTGGAAGAGCAACCAGTGCTCTTAACCTCTGAGCCATCTCTCCAGCCCCCCAAAGTGATTGTTTTGAAGAGGAAAATGATATGACTTTGGAGGAACCTGCTAGACATTGGCTTGACCAGATGGTTAATATCAGCAGTGTAGGAATGGGTTGCTGTGTTCTGTGTTGCTACCCATCTCTCCATGAGGAAATGTAGACCAGTCTGAGACTGAGGGGTGACCCCATGGAATGAAAGGACCCAGCTGGGACATAGGTCAGCCAAAGAATGAGGGACTAACACAGATCAATAGACATCAGTAGAGTCATGGCACTTGGATGAAATGTTGAACCAGATAGGAAAAATGTGGCCATTGCCATGACTGAGGTAGGGCTGTGAGCTGGATTGTAATTCAGTAGTAGTGTTCGCTTCCTGATGAGGAGGCTGTGTGCTCTGCAGAAGAGTAAGTGCTTTTTTTGTCTTTTAGATTTCTCAAAGTGATCCGAAAGAGACTTGTGACTTGAATATATGTAGAAAACTTAGCAGATGAGGTAAAGCACTGAGTTGGGCAATCTTGCTAAAAGGTATATGTAAGCACTTAGAATTTCTTGTGTTTGAAATTATCTCAGATTGAAACTAATAATCTGTTATTTTATTAAACTAATCTGTTAAGAGTTTTGACTTCTGACACTGGCCCTTTTCATCTAGTTATTCTGTGTGTTCTTTCAGTTCATTTCAGTTTTGTTTTTAACTTTTTGGTGCTTCTCAAAAAAGTTTGTAGTTTTCATCATACAGCTTTTGCCTACTTCTGTTTTGAATTAGTACTCTTAATTCAAAATTACATTGAAAGGCTTACAGAGTGAGACACACTGCCTGTAAGTGACAGCACTGATTGCTGTTTGTTATCCTTTTGTCTGTACTGTACTATACTGTACTGTATTATTAACATTTAAATAGAAATTTTCACTGCCATCCCAAAGTCTTGGGCTTCAATAGGTGACAAAGACTTGAGAAGGAGACCTAGTTAACCCAAGGTGCCACTGGTCTTACTTTCCTGTCCCCTTTCTGATAGTTGTTGAGCCATCGTGCTCTCCCATGCAGCTATTTGAAATGACTTTGGGCTGCCCCTGTGTGAAAGATAAGACAGCAGTGGGGGTGGGCATGGAGCTAGGATGTGAGCTGCAGGTGCACCTCCAGGAACTTCATTCTTGTAGGTAATTGATGGAATGCCTTGTCTGGGCTCTTGGGGATTATGTCTAAAAACAGGCTTGCCCATTGTGTATGTAATGTGTAGTAGGGAAATTGAACTGTTTTTAAGACTTATTCATCTTTTGCTGTGTGTGTGTGTGTGTGTGTGTGTGTGTGTGTGTGTGTGTGTGTGTGTGTGTGTTTGAGATAGGGTCTCTCTACGTAGCCCCAGCTGTCCTGGAACTCCTTATGTAGATCAGGCTGGCCTTGAACTCACAGAGGTACATCTGCCTCTGCCTCCTGAGTGCTGGGGTTAAAGGTGTGCATCATCATGCCTACCTTTCAGATCCATTTCTTAGAAAAACAAAAAACAAAAACAAATTAAAAAACAAACAAACCTGAGCCAATGATATGCATACCTACTTGGGCACTGTGGTATGTGTAAGGTATGTAGTATGTTGGCTTTGAGTTCCTGGGGGCGGTTCATGTCTAGTCATCCCCTATGCCTCCGGGCTTGTGGGGTGTCTTGTATCTCTTTCTTGGGCATGGAAATATTTTGCTGTCAGTTGAGATGATGTAAAGTTCATTAGTGTAAATTTTGTTATTTGTATGTGAGGGCATGTGAATCCTGCCACTGTAGATGATCAAAAGCTTTTATTTATTTGCATCATTTTCTTTGTCCTCTGTCTTTAAGAATGTCCAATTTCCAAATGTAATTGTAGCACAGGTATGCAAATTGTAGGCATTTTGTGTGTGTGGCTAGAATCTTCACAATTACTGATTTATATACTATTTAAGTAGTTAAAATTTGCTTACTCATTTTCAAGTGATAAAAGATTTATAGTTTGTCGGCAGTTTTTTCTTACCAGATCCCACTGAAGCAATCTTTTTAAAAATTACCCATTTATATCTTTAGAAATTTGTAAGTATGTATGCTTCTTTTGTTGTGTTTGTACTTCCCTTGTTCATCAGATGGGATATGATCTCTTAGTTTGTTATTGAGACAGGTTCTCACTGTGTAGTGCAGGTTCATCTGGAACTCCTGTAGACCAGGCTGGCCTCTAACTCACAGACATATCCATACCTGCTTTTACCTCCCTGGGTGCTCAGATTAAAGGTGTGTGCCACCATGCCTGACTCTCTTAAATTGTTATGGAAAAAAACTTGGGGTGGGTTTTTTGATATAGGGTCTCCTGTGTAGTTCAGTCTCCTATGTTGACCTCAGTTTGTGATGATCCTCCTTCTTCAGCCTTCCAGATGCTGTAATTAGAGGGGCATACTACCATTCTTGGCTTTATTTTAAAAATTAAAAGCTATAGATTATTCATTTCTTTTGGGGACTGCATATATCTCATCATGGCTGCAGATAAATATTTTTCACAGCTTTTATGGCTGATACTGTGTACATTTTTGACCCCAAAAGAGCCAACTTCTTATATATACATACAGCATTCCAGTAGGTTTCTTTTTCCTGACAGAACCAAAAAGCTTGTGAGTTTGACTGACTTGGCTCCTTAAGATGTTTTCAGAGGTACTGGAGAGATGACTCAGTGGGTAAGAGCACTGGTTACTCTTCTAAAGGACCCAGGTTCAATTCCAGGTACTCACATGGCAGATCACGACTGTCTGTAACTTCAAGTACATGCAGGCAAAACACCAATGTACATAAAATAAAAATAAATAAATTTAGAAAAAATGATGTTTTTAGAGTGCTATTTTGAGATTCCCTTGCCAGAGAGCTACCAGTGACACCAGCACTGACTGTACTGAGGTTCTTGTCAGTCCCCAAGGACAAGCTAGATTCTGTGTAAACTGGATGCAGAATAGGAAAAAAAGACAATCAAATCACTAGACAGATACACATTCCTAATTTGCTTAGTTTACATGCACATAAAGTAGATGAAACAGATACTACATCTAGGTTTAAGACATATAACTCAATTTGGCAAACTTGAAGATTTCTTTCTTAGTGTTTCTCCTCTATAAATACAGCACCATTGTCTTACTGCTGGTTTGGGGAAGGTTTTTGCCAGAAGTGTAGACTGGATTCTGGAATTGGTGTTTCATATTCTGTCTTTCTGTTTATGAGACACATGATTTATTTGTGTAACTTCTAAGCCTTGGTTTATAAAAGAGAATACTAACACATTGTAGATATGGTAAGGAGAGAGTGTTTAAAGTGCCTAGTGGTGTATGTAGCATATGTTAGGCATGCAGTAAATTAGCAATACCCATTGTTAATTTAGAGCTGACCCAAGTTGTTGGTCAGAATTCTCAAAAAAGAAAAACAAATGTGGATCTGGGATGTTTCTTGCTTAACATATGGTATAGTAAAAGGATCATGGGTTTTAAAATCAAAAGAATTTGAGCTAAAGCATACCAATTCCCAGCATGTCCTAGAAAAGTGACTTAGAACGTGTTGTAGTTCATCAGTGTCGTGTGCCTGTGTGTCCCCCCCCCAATGTATACACAGATGAAAACCAGACAGCTGGATATGGTAATTATTAGTAGCACATTCCTTAATACTAAGATTCTTTAGTACTTAGATACAGGTTAAAGGTAAACACAATTTACTGTTCGGTTTCATTAAGTGAAGCAAATCAAAAATTCTTTGCTGTAAGAATATCTTGTAGAGAAGATCAAATTTCAGCAACTCCTGGGATCCTGGGACCCATATGACCTGATAGGGTAGGAGGGCATTTCTGGACCTCAGTTAGAGAGCTGAGGAGGGTGATGGCTTAAGGACACTTCTGAACAAGATTATTGGACAAAAAGAGCAGAAACCATCTGGAAGATACCATAGGCCAACCAGGACTGTGGGGAATATGATATTGTCAAAATAGTAAGTGGAGGAAAGCTTATTCTTTTGTTCCTGTGACTGGTGCTGGAACATAGAACTTTGTGGGAATTTTTTTTTCCAGATCAGGAAGATGGAAGTGGCCACGTCAGAACCAGAGGATAGGACAAATAAAAAAGAACAGGTTTGTGATTAAACAATACCTTGTAAGTAGGAAAAAAAATGACTTAGGCAAGATGCTGAGGTGGTCAGGGAAAGTACAGCATTCATTAATTTTACTGTTGAAAATAAACTGAGCCATGTGTGGTGACACAAACTGACCTCTTAGTACTCGACTAAGGCAGGAGGATTGCTGTGAGTTTCAGGACAGTCTGGACAATCAGTGAGATCTGTTTCGAAAAGAAAGGAAGGAAAGAAAAAACTGTGACTTTGTAAGAATAAATACAAGTCAATTTTGTAGGAATCATTCTCACTACAAATGGCACTACCTAGCATCATTAAATGAGAACCTTGGCCATAATGGTTAATAGAATCCTGCAGACCCTATCACATTCTGGTTCATAGCCTACCGCCCAGTTGCTGCTCTTGAAGCTTGCATGTTTCTTGCAGTGTTGACATGTACTTTGTCTAACATCTCTAAGTGTTTTGTTTTTTAGTCCCTGTTGCATACCATATTGTATGAAATAGAAGTCTCTTACTCCCCAAATGATAAAATAGTGTACTCTGAAATTCTGGGAATGAGAGAACTTTATCATTCAGAGCCCTGGTAGAAAACAGATGGCATATTTAAACTGGTAACTTGAGGAGCATTTAATTGTACTGTTTAGAGTTCATTCAGGAAAAGAGAAGCTTTGTATTCTATAAAAACTCTACTGTGGGGAATTTTGATACAAGAATTAAGAATTGTAGCCAGGCTTGGTGGCACACACCTCTGATTCCAGCACTCAGGAAGCAGAAGCAGGTGAATCTCTGTGAGGTCTAGGCTAGCCTGATCTACAAAATGAGTTCTGGGATAGTCAAGACTATTACACAGAAAAAAACCCTGTCTTAAAAAACCAAAGGAAAAAAAGAGGGGGGGTGCCAAAAAAAAAAAAAAAGGATTAAAGATTAGGCTAACATGGGAGGAACTGGAATTGGGAAAGCCTGGCAGGCTTTTCATGATGACCAGGAACTGAAACATCATAGTAGATATTCTTGGAAGTTTGTGGAAGAGCTGTTGGGAGTCCATATCTGCTGTAGTTGCCTCCAGGCAGTATCAGCTTCTCTTTTTCCTGTCTTCCTAATCTCCCTTGGGCTTGTGTTTGTATACTTTAACTCTGCTGGAAAAGACTCTGAAAAGTAGCCCCACTACTGTCCCAGCTCCAGGTCCTGATCAGCTGAGACTATGGTCAGGATAACCAAACTGGGAAAGTGGCATTTTCTGGCCTGGCATTTGTTGGGAGTTGTTAATGCCTTCTGAGCTCAAGGGCAAGAAGTTTCTGAGCTCAGAGAAAATGGCTAAATGTTTAGGTTGTCAGATAGCTGACACAACCATCCCTGTTTGTAGGTCTTTACCAGCCTCAATACTTACCTCCTCAGGGCCAGGAGAATAAAATTCTTTGACTGTCTCCAACTGGGCCAGAAGCCAGAGGGTGGTAGAGCCTATCCATTGTTTCTGGTGTCCCTCCTAGGTTGTAAACTAGTTTGTTGTGGGTGAAGAGTGAGTCTGGAGGGCAGATAGTGTAGACAGTATATCCTCACATGGGATTAAAGTAGAATTCGTATCTTAAGGACTGACTTTTTTTTTGTCTTTGTTTTAAAGCAAGGACCTTATTATGTTGTTATTCTAGCAATAGAAACATTAGTTAAACCTCTTTGGAAAGATAAAAACTTTCTGGAAGATACTAGAGGACTTTGGGGAGAAAAGAATGGATTGGGGAGTATAATGCCTGTCGCTGATGACAGAAAGACAGCAAAAATTAATACTAGTACTTTATAAAATGAGGCAGTCACCAGCCTTCCACCAGGAGAGAGCAGTTACAGCTGGGCGGCTAAAGTTCTGCGCCTCAGGGGCCTATCTGAAATATGAAAATTTGGGAATATGGAGAAAATGAGGAAAGGAAATGGAAGAAAAGTGTGTTGGTAAATCTCTTCCAGATATACTTAAATTCCTCATTGACTGGCGTTGGGATAAATATTTTTCATACATATAATATATATTTTAATTAGAATCATTGGGATAGTTTATATTATTAGCTTGCTTTATATGCTGTTGATAGGTTGCAAATACTTCAGGTTTATATTTTCGATTGCTGGCATTTTGTCTTTTCTAATTGCCTTAACTTGAAACTTCTACAAAGGATAAACTTGGAGCATATTTGGTAATCATACTTCATGTGCACCAAGAATGTCTAGGTACTCTGCAGGAGATAATGGCTATCATATTTTTTTTCTTTCAAGTCTATAAACTTGTACTGTAAGAGGGATTATTCATGGTAAAGGAGTGTACAGTGCAAGACTGGGAACAAGACTGCAAGAGGAAATGTTCCATGTCTGTTTTCTCTGTAGAGATAGGGTTTGAAGTAACCAGGCAGCCCCAGGCCATATTGCTGATGTCGAATGTGGTCTCTTGATAGCAAATGGCATGAGTAGTTATATGTTCAAACCTTCAGAAGTTAGTTTTATTACAGAATAGTTAACTGAACAACATAGTATTTATAAGGAGATTATCTCTGGAGGCAGCGTTTTCATACCTTCAATTAACTGCTAATTTTAATGTTTTGTTCAATTTATCCCCCTCAGCCACTAAGAACTAAGTTCTAAGAACTAGAAGTATGCTAGAAACAAGGGAAGTTTAGATGTTAATAGAATTGTTCTTGACAGTCTTAAAGATTAGAGGAAGTAGAGAACCAGCTAGAGTAGCATTGGAGGAGTTGCACTGAAGGGGTGTATGTTATGACCTTGTTAAAAAAAAGTCCTCTGCATAATGTAGTATGCCACACTGGGGGCTCTAATGAAGTTGATTAATTCTGTTCCTCAGTTTCCCTATCTGTAAAATGAGGGTTCTAGTTTTTTGAGTTAGTACATGTAATTGGTGGAACAGGGTCAGATATTGTATTAAGCACCTAATAGATGTTCATGGTTGCCTAGCAGACTCATGGGAGAAATGGTGTCTGTTACAGAGGCATTTGAGGTGATGAGAAGTCCTGACATTTTCTCTTTTTAAAATAACATTTAAAAGGATAGCTTTGATTCATGTGACTATTATGTATTAGGACTTAGTCCCATGTCTAGCTATTTTAGTTATAAAGTATTTTAGAAATGGGTCAGGGTCAGGAGCAAGGCATGGTGGTAACACGTGCCTCTTTAATCCCTACATTGTGGAGGCAGAGGCAGAAGGGTCTCTGTGCTCTGAGTTTGAGGCAAGCCTGGTCTTTGTATTGAGTTGCAGGGCAGCCAGGGCTAAATAGAGAGACCCTGTCTCAAAAACAGAAGTGTCCATGTCTTGAGTCTAGAGAGAAGACTCAGCAGTTAGTTTGTTGCTATTCCAAAGGATCTGAGTTGGATTCTCAGTACCCATCTTAGGCAGCTCACAATTGCCTGGAACTCTAGCTGGCCTCCAGGGGTACCCTCACACACATAGCATATACTTACATAGACATACACACATGCAAGGTCTTCTTAGCTCAACCATGGAAGACTGAGCTGGGTCCCAGAAAGGGTAAGTGTGCTGCTCGCCCTTTCCCTAGCCTCCCAGAATCCCAGAGACAGTCAGACACAGCAGGGAGTCTAGTCAAGCAGGAACTCATTTGTCCCACAGCTAGCATCTTTTAAAGGAAAAAAACTGCGGCGGGGGGGGGGGGGTACGGGGGACATGGTGACAGCCAGCCAGTGGTTTTAAAGGTCAGCCTATCACAAACATAGGCGCTGTATGCTTTACCTAGTGAACATTAGCTGTTCATGCAGTAACCTCATCTGGTTCAATCTAGGCAACCAATCACCTTTTCCTGCAAACAACTTAGTACTCGCCCACCTGACTTCCCCCCAGGGCCATCTTTGACTGGTTTGGTGCCTTACAGATTCCCCCTTTTTGTTTTAGATTATGGCCCACCTCATTTCAAAGTATGGGCCTCTTGGTGCCTCGGCAGAGGTTTGCCTCTAATAGCACTTTTTGTCAAGGTTCACTCACAAGGGAGATATACTCAGGGCTGAGCCTATCATAATATATGTGAAGGATCATCAGTTGGATCCCAAGTCTTTGTTCTGATTAGTTTGATCAGCCTTATTGAAAAGGCAATGTCCAAAGACACAAATTAAGGTTATTACTATAAAGTAATCTGGCAGGGTGGAGAAGATTGCCTTTTCCAAGAGTCCGTCCCCATTTTCTCACATGTCCATTGTGCACAGAAGGCATCAGTCCCACCACATTTGGATATGTCCACTGCTGTTTGATTGCTCCCTGGGCATATGTAAAAGTCAGTGTCCCTTAAGGCTGCCTATTGGGAACATGTGAGCAGCCTGGCGATTGGGGGTCCAATACGTGGGGCAGGTGGCACCCCTGCAACCCTCCACATTCAGGCCGTCCTTGATGAAGAGAGGTTCAGTCTCCCATGTCCCAAGATCCTTGGGCCAGGTCACAGATGTCGAAGAAGAGTGTGGACCATCAGGTCTAGGGGACTGCCTCATTTATGGTGCTGTTGAGGACATCTCCATTGGTGGCATCAATCACCATCCACTTCATTTTTTGGAGATGATGAGGGTTCTGTTGGGAGGTTACTGGAGCAGTCAGCATCAGCAGCAGAAGTGTCAGAGTGGTCAGGAAGCGAGATTTAATTTGTTATCTTTAAAGAACACGAGCTTCTCAAGGGTCTGGTGCCCTTGGACATGGTTAAGTGTCACTGTAGTGGCCCTCTTATTTTGGAAGATGAGCCTTGACCACCATTGTCACTTCATTTCCTTGTTGGTTGGTCAACCTGTTCCTGGTCATCCTGTATTGTGGAAGCAAGCAGGAATTTTACATTTCTGGCCAGAAGCCAGATGGGCGCTTCCTCCCCTATGGGGAAGACATATCCAAATCCTCTTACCATTGTAATTAATGGGTCTGGGCCCCTCCATTGGAACGTTAGAGGGTCTTTCCATTTGACCTTAACTTGGGGTTTGAGGTTTAGGTGGCACCAATGTTTTTGGAACTTAGATTTGGTTGTTCCCTTAGAAACATTTAAAGTATTAATAGTAAATAAAGCCATTCCTATTTGTAAATGGGGTCTTATTCTCCCTTTTTGTTTTAAAAGTTGTTCTTTTAAGACATTGATGGTTTCTTTCTACAATTGCTTGTCCCTGAGGGTTGTAAGGGATTCCTGTAGTATGCTTGATCTGCCATCTGTCAAAAAATTCTGCTATGGAATTACTGGCAAAACAAGGGCCATTATCAATCAGTCTTAACCAGTATGGGTAATCCTAGAGTTGTGAAACATTGGAGGAAGTGGGCTTGAGCATGTTTGTTTGTTTTTCTCCTGTATGTGCAGTGGTCCAACAGCCCCCTGAATAAATGTCTATGGAGACAAAAACATACTTCTGTTTGCCAAAAGCTGGAAAATGAATAACATCAGTTTGCCAAAGGGTATTCTACTGTAGGCCTCTGAGGTTAACTTCTGGCACCTGTAGAGGAGGAACTCTTAGATATGGTTGCATGACTTGTATGTATGAACTATCTATTTTTAGTTCTTTTATAGGAATCGTTGGGAATCTATTATGTAGTTCCCTCCAATTGACGTGGGTCATATGCAATTGAGTGGCTTCCTGTAGGGTTAGTGCCTCTGGGGCTGTTGACCATCTATCCACCCATTCATTTCCCTTAGTCAGGAACTCTGGGAGGCCAGAGTGTCCCTGAAGGTGTTGAAGATAAATTAGTGCCTCTCCACCCTCTAAAAGGGCCTTAAGAGTCATGCTGGGTGGTGGTGACACACACCTTTAATCCCAGCACTCAGGAGGCAGAGGCAGGCAGATCTCTGTGAGTTCGAGGCCAGGCTGGACCGACAGCCTCCAAAACAATACAGAGAAACCCTGTCTCGTAAAAACTGGAAAACAAACAAACAAACAAACAAACAAAAAAAGAGTCACCATGAGGGGGGATTATAGAGTTATTATCTAACTGAATGTGTGCTTGTGGCATATGTGGAAGTAAGTTAACCACATAGAGACTGTCTGAGAAAAAGTTTGCGGGGCTCAGAGATGTCCTGTAATTCCAGTGTCACAGCCAGTATTTCCTTATATTGGGAGAACCTGGGTTCAAATCTTTGGTGTCTTGGTATCCCCTAAGGGAAACAAAGGCAGAGCTTGCTGGGCCCCCTTCAGTGAAGATACAAATGGCTTCTGGGATGGGCTTGGATGGAACCAAGGAAGGCATCTTAAGGGGGAGTCTCTGTAAAAGAGGAGCCCATTTGGACGGCCCATAGTGGCAATCAGTACTCCCCATAAATTCTTCTAAGATGAGAGCAAGGCGGGCGTTAGCCCGAGCAAGCCATCCAACATCCACCGCCTGGAAAGGGACGACAATGGTTTGGGGGTCTAGCCCATAGTGTCACTGGGCCTGGGTCCTGTCCTTTATGATGGCATCAGAGACCTGATTTTTCTGAGGGTAGACCCGGGGTGTTCCTCTCAAAGATGTATGGATCCATTCCAACAGCTCCCCATCCTGGGTTAGAACCGCTGTAATCAGGGAGGCTCCAGTAAGCAGCCAGAGGGACAAGGGCCTAGTTACAGAATACCTCCTTAGAGAGCACTTGTTCAAGGCCTTCTGAAAGACAAGAAACATCTTGTGTGGTGTTCCTTTGTTATATTATCATGAGGCGCCTTGCCTTTTAGCAGGGCATACAGGGATACCAGGTCTTCTGTGGGGATGACACCCAAGGTCTCAGCTAATTAATCTCCCCCAGTAAGCACTGGAGCTGGATCAGCCACCTCCAGAACAGGCTTAAGGGGGCTAGCCTCTGTCTGTGTGAGGTGCCACTGAAGTACTTTGAAGGGGGCACTTTTGAGCATTTCCTGGGGTTAATAGTAAAGCCCCCCTTTTTAAGCATTGGAGCACCCATGTGACAAAGCTCTCCAGGTATGCTGGATCTCGACGTTCCAAAATTAAATCATTCATATAAGCATATATTATTGAAACCTTTGACTTTAGCATAGGCCTTAAGAGAGTAGCAAGATACTGTTGACAGAAGACCAGGCTATTAGCCATTTCCTGTGGTAGCAGTACCCATTCAAAACATTGATCATGTTTGGAATAATTAAGGGAACAGAGAAGGCAAATGTATCACAATCCTCTGGATGTAGCGGTATAGAAAATAAGCAATCCTTAATATCAGTTGCCATAAATTCTGTGGAAATAGGGGTCCAGGGCATGCCCCTTAAGGGGGTACCCACTAGTTGTAATCTCTCATTTATCTTGAGCAAATCTTGGAGCATGCGCCTGGATGCCTTTTGAATTACAAACACTGGGGTGTTCAGTGGGCTCATAGAAGGGCGGATATGTCCCAGCCTTAATTGTTCATCTACTAGCTGGTGGAGTGCTAGCAACTTAGGTTTAGTCAGTGGCCACTCATATGGGTTTTCCTGGTGTCCATCTGATAGGCAGCACTTGGGGTGTGTGTGTGGGAGTGCAGTGGCCCTTAATGATTGGTGGTATGCCCAGATAGACCTCTCAGGCTCCCCCCTGTAGTTGTGGAGGTTGAAAAGATCCTTCTCTGACACCCCCCTTTAGGTCCTTTCCACCTTTGTGCCTCTTTCTCTTCCAGGATATCCTCATAAAAAGCCCAATGATCTGTGGTCACAAGTGTTTGCTTGGCCTAACATGTACTGTCCCAGCAAATTGGCAGTAAGGCCTTTGACCGCTAAGGAACGTATCTTCTTGGTCCCCATCTGGGCTGATCCAGCTCATTAAGGCTACTGTTTCTCTTGAAACTGGTAATGCCTGCCTGGAGACTGAAAAACGGTGAAAAGGACAAACCATGTGGGTGATAGGAAGGGGGTGGTGTTTGTATGGAAGAGAACATGGTAAGCAGAGCATAGTGTTGGTGGCCTGGCCCAGAACAAGGAGATGGTGAATGTGATTAGTTGACTATAAGCAGCTCCATTTTAACTTCCTTTAAGGGAAACTAAGAAAGTAGCTTCATAGACCATTGTGGGGAAAGTGTATTTCATAAACTTCTTTTTTAAAGTTTGTTTTTAAAGTCCTTTGAAGAAGTTTGACCTTGTCTTACTTAGTTCTTCTGATTCTGAGGAAACAAGCCTAAGCAAAGGCAAAAATAAAATCAATTTAGGAGACTGGAAAGATGACTCAGTGGGTAAGAGCATATCCTGCTCTTCCATTCCCACTTCTGTAACACTCCAGCTCTAAGGTTCCCAACATCCTCTTCTGCACTCAAGTGCACATAGCGATATATACATACTAAAAATAATACTGAAAATATCAATTTAAATAAGTGGGTGGTAACATTATTATAGATGTAGAAGTGACAACTCAGTCCTGGTTGTTTACACACACATGCGCGCACACACACAGACGTTATGTATGTGTGTGTGTATGTATGTATTACATGAATGATTGGTTAATTGATTGGTTTCATATTTATTTTATATATAAGAATGTTTTGCCTATGTATATCTGTGCATGATGTGTGGGCTTAGTACCTTCAGAGGTCAGAAGAGGTCATCAGATCCCCTGCACCTGGAGTTAGAGATGGTTGTGAGCCACCATTTTGGTGTTGGGAATCAAACCGAGGTCCTCTGTGCAAGAGCAAAAAATGCTCTGTATTTATATGCATGCCTGTACCCAAGGAGATCAGCACATGGTGTCAGATCTCCTGGAACTGGAGTTAAACATTGTTGTAAGTCAGCCAATTAACCCAGGTGCTTTGAACCTCTGAACCATCTCTCCAGCCCTGGGTATTCCTTTCAACTCTATTTTTTGTTGTTCTCTATCATAGGAATAAATCTAATAACTAAATATTAGATGGCAATGGAAAGCCACATGGAAAATAGTGGTACTGAAACCCCCCCCCAAAAAAAAGTTTTAAAGACTAGAAACTGCTATTAACTGACCTATATATCTGCACTTAATACCTGGAAATTGAGGGTCAGTGATCAAGAGTGATACTTTGGACACAATTTTATGTCCAGAAGAGGTGAGATCTAATGTTTATATGGGTGGCTACAATATAAGGAATCCATAGTAGTAAAGAATTGAGTGTCCCAGAGAATAGTCATCATAGGCAGTTCGTAATTACAATCAACCTTAAGTGGTATGCATTTAAATCTGAGGAATTAGTGTCTTAGGATAGTTCTGTTTCTCAGTCAGTGAGTGGAGTGGGTATGGATAGCCTCTGAAACAACTGCTGCATCATTATTTGAGTCTGTCTGTCTAATGAATGAAAATAAGGAGATGAAAGTGGTTTTTATAACCCTTCCCCACTATAACTGAAGATTAATTAAGAAATGTGTTTTTGTTGTTTGTAATAACATCCCAGTATTTACCCTAGCTGAATATTTACCTCAGTTGAATTTGTAAGGCTTGTTTACCTAATAATGAAGTTTTAAAAAGACTATATTGAATGTGTATACCTAGTGTTTTCTTTGTTGTGTTACAGACACCTTCATTCTTTAGACATTTCTCTGTTTATTTGCATGATCAGAAATGGGTACAGTAAGGAAAAAGGAGATGAAATTTAAAGTACTTAGCTTTATCTGGTTATTGGGTTATTTAGGCTTGATATTTGTTTGTACCAAGCAGATTATATCTCATGCTTTTCTTTCTTTTCTTTTTCTAGGAGGGCTGTTGGCCTGCTGCTGTGCTGCTGAACAGTATGCAGTCCTTTCGGGAGCAAAGCAGTTACCACGGAAACCAGCAGAGCTACCCACAGGAGGTACACAGCTCATCCCGTATAGAAGAGTTCAGCCCTCGTCAGGCCCAGATGTTCCAGAATTTTGGGGGAGCAGGTGGTGGTAGTGGTGGCACTGGCAGCAACAGTAGTGGACGTCGAGGAACAGCAGCTGCTGCCACAGCAATGGCTAGTGAGACCTCTGGCCATCAAGGCTATCAGGGTTTCAGGAAAGAAGCTGGGGAATTTTACTACATGGCAGGCAACAAAGACCCCGTGGCAGCAGGAGCCCCACAGCCTCCTCAGCGAAGGCCTTCTGGTCCTGTGCAGAGCTATGGCCCTCCCCAGGGAAGCAGCTTTGGCAATCAGTATGGGAGCGAGGGGCATGTGAGCCAATTTCAAGCACAGCACTCTGCCCTTGGTGGTGTGTCTCATTATCAGCAGGATTACACAGGGCCTTTCTCTCCTGGGAGTGCTCAGTATCAGCAGCAGGCATCCAGCCAACAACAGCAACAACAGCAGCAGCAGCAACAGCAGCAGCAACAGCAGCAACAGCAGCAGCAAGTACAGCAGTTGAGACAACAGCTTTACCAATCCCATCAGCCTCTGCCCCAAGCCACTGGACAGCCGGCCTCTGGGTCATCCCATCTACAACCAATGCAGCGGCCCTCAACTCTGCCATCTTCTGCTGGTTATCAGTTAAGAGTAGGTCAGTTTGGCCAACACTACCAGTCTTCTGCTTCTTCTTCTTCCTCCTCCTCCTTTCCTTCACCACAGCGTTTCAGTCAGTCTGGACAAAGCTATGATGGCAGTTATAGTGTAAATGCTGGATCTCAGTATGAAGGGCATACTGTGGGTTCTAATGCACAGGCTTATGGAACACAACCAAATTATAGCTATCAATCTCAGTCTATGAAGAATTTTGAACAGACAAAGATTCCACCAGGAACCCAGCAGGGGCAGCAGCAGCAACAACAGCAGCCACAACCTCAGCAGCAGCAGCAACAGCAGCAGCAGCAACAGCAACAGCAACATCCCCCCCAGCATGTGATGCAGTATACTAATGCTGCCACCAAGCTGCCCTTGCAAAGCCAGGTGGGCCAGTACAACCAGCCTGAGGTTCCTGTAAGGTCCCCTATGCAGTTTCATCAGAACTTCAGCCCTATTTCTAACCCTTCTCCAGCTGCTTCTGTGGTTCAGTCTCCAAGCTGTAGCTCTACCCCTTCTCCTCTCATGCAGAGTGGTGAGAATCTCCAGTGTGGGCAAGGCAATGTGCCCATGAGTTCCAGAAACCGAATTTTACAGCTAATGCCTCAACTCAGTCCAACCCCATCAATGATGCCCAGTCCTAATTCTCATGCTGCAGGATTCAAAGGGTTTGGATTAGAAGGTGTGCCAGAAAAGCGGCTGACAGATCCTGGGTTGAGTAGTTTGAGTGCTCTGAGTACTCAAGTGGCCAATCTTCCTAATACTGTCCAGCACATGTTGCTTTCTGATGCCTTGACACCTCAGAAGAAGACTTCCAAGAGGCCCTCATCATCATCTAAGAAAGCAGATAGCTGTACAAACTCAGAAGGCTCACAGCCTGAAGAACAACTGAAATCCCCACTGGCAGAGTCATTGGATGGAGGTTGCTCCAGTAGTTCAGAAGATCAAGGTGAGAGAGTGAGGCAACTAAGTGGCCAGAGCACTAGCTCTGACACCACCTACAAGTGTGGAGCTTCAGAGAAAGCTGGCTCTTCACCTACACAAGGTGCTCAGAATGAGGCCCCTAGGCTCAGTACCAGTCCTGCAGCTAGGGAAGAAGCTGCGTCTCCAGGTGCTAAGGACACACCACTGTCTGAGGGGAACACAAAAGTTAATGAGAAGACAGTTGGGGTGATTGTCTCCCGGGAAGCCATGACTGGTAGGGTAGAAAAATCTGGTGGGCAAGATAAAGGATCCCATGAGGAGGATCCTGCTGCCAGTCAGAGACCACCTAGCAATAGTGGTATAAAGGAAACCAGCCACACATCACTTCCACAGCCAGATCCTCCAGCAGGAGGTAGCAAAGGAAACAAGAATGGTGATAATAGCTCTAACCACAACGGAGAGGGAAATAGTCAGAGTAGCCACTCTGCAGTAGGCCCAAGCTTCACAGGCAGGACTGAGCCTAGCAAATCTCCTGGAAGTTTGCGCTACAGTTACAAAGAGAGTTTTGGGTCAGCTGTACCACGAAGTGTCAGTGGTTTCCCTCAGTATCCTTCAGGACAAGAAAAGGGGGATTTTGCCGGCCACGGGGAACGAAAGGGTAGAAATGAGAAGTTCCCAAGTCTCCTACAGGAAGTGCTTCAGGGTTACCACCACCATCCTGACAGAAGGTATCCTAGAAGTGCTCAGGAACATCAAGGGATGACTAGTGGCCTGGAAGGAACTGCAAGGCCCAACATCTTAGTCAGTCAAGCCAATGAATTAGCCAGCAGGGGCATTCTGAACAAGAGCATTGGATCCCTGTTAGAAAATCCCCACTGGGGACCATGGGAAAGGAAGTCAAGCAGCACAGCTCCTGAAATGAAACAGATCAATTTATCTGACTATCCCATTCCCAGAAAGTTTGAGATAGAACCTCCATCATCGACCCATGAGCCTGGGGGCTCCCTTTCTGAAAGGAGGTCAGTGATCTGTGATATTTCTCCACTAAGACAGATTGTCAGGGACCCAGGGGCTCACTCATTGGGACACATGGGTGCTGATGCCAGAATTGGGAGGAGTGAGCGTCTCAACCCAAGTTTAAGTCAGTCAGTCATTCTTCCAGGTGGGTTAGTGTCAATGGAAACAAAACTGAAATCCCAGAGTGGGCAGATAAAAGAGGAAGACTTTGAGCAGTCTAAATCTCAAGCTAGTTTCAACAAGAAATCTGGAGACCACTGCCATTCTACCAGCATCAAGCATGAGTCTTATCGTGGCAATGTCAGCCCTGGAGCAGCAGCCCATGATTCCATTTCAGACTACGGCCCACAAGACAGTAGGTCCACACCAATGCGGCGGGTCCCTGGTAGAGTTGGTAGCCGGGAGACTATGAGGGGTCGGTCCTCTTCTCAGTACCATGACTTTGCAGAAAAACTGAAGATGTCTCCAGGCAGGAGCAGAGGCCCAGGGGCAGACCCTCATCACATGAATCCACACATGACCTTCTCAGAGAGGGCCAACAGGAGTTCTTTACATGCTCCTTTTTCTCCCAACTCGGAAAGCCTGGCCTCTGCTTACCACACAAACACCAGGGCTCATGCTTATGGGGACCCTAATACTAGTTTGAATTCTCAGCTCCATTATAAGAGACAGATGTACCAACAGCAACAAGAGGAGTATAAAGATTGGACCAGCAGTTCTGCTCAGGGAGTGATTGCTGCTGCACAGCATAGGCAAGAAGGGCCACGGAAGAGCCCACGGCAGCAGCAGTTTCTTGACAGAGTACGGAGCCCCCTGAAAAACGACAAAGATGGTATGATGTATGGCCCACCAGTAGGGACGTACCATGACCCAAGCACTCAGGAAGCTGGGCGCTGTCTCATGTCTAGTGACAGTCTGCCTGCCAAAGGCATGGAATTGAAGCACAGCTCTCAGAAGTTACAAGAGTCTTGTTGGGATCTTTCTCGGCAGACTTCTCCAGGAAAAAGCAGTGGTCCTCCAGGAATGTCTAATCAGAAACGGTATGGGCCACCTCATGAGACAGATGGACATGCCCTAACTGAGTCTACACAGTCATCCAAACCTAGTAACGTAATGCTACGGCTACCAGGTCAAGAGGATCATTCTTCTCAAAATCCCTTAATCATGCGGAGGCGGGTCCGTTCTTTTATCTCTCCTATTCCCAGTAAAAGACAGTCACAAGATGTAAAAAACAGTAACACTGATGATAAAGGACGCCTCCACCCGTCAAAAGAAGGTGCCGATAAGGCATACAATTCCTACACCCATCTTTCTCACAGTCAGGATATCAAGTCTACCCCCAAGAGAGATTCCTCCAAGGACTTTCCAAACCCAGACAATAGAAACTGTCCTGCTGTTACCCTCACGAGCCCTGCTAAGACCAAAATACTGCCCCCACGGAAGGGACGGGGATTGAAATTGGAAGCTATAGTTCAGAAGATCACATCCCCAAATATTAGGAGGAGTGCATCCACAAATAGTGCTGAGACTGGGGGAGACACAGTCACACTGGATGATATACTGTCTCTGAAGAGTGGTCCTCCTGAAGGTGGAACCGTGGCTGCTCAGGAGGCTGAGATGGAGAAGAGAAAAGGTGAGGTGGTATCTGACCTAGTCAGCACAACTAACCAGGAATCAAATGTTGAGAAGCCTCTTTCAGGGCCTTCAGAAGAGTGGCATGGCAGTGGGGATGACAAAGTCAAGACAGAGGCACATGCAGAAACAGCTCCTACTGGAAAGGAACCTTCTGGTACTATGACATCCACAGCTTCACAGAAGTCTGGTGGTAACCAAGGGAGACCAGATGGTTCCCTGGGTGGGGCAGCACCACTAATCTTTCCTGACTCTAAGAATGTAGCTCCAGTGGGCATTTTGGCCCCTGAGGCAAACCCCAAGGCCGAAGAGAAAGAGAATGAAACAGTCATGGTTTCACCCAAACAAGAAAGTTTTCCCCCAAAAGGGTATTTCCCATCAGGAAAGAAAAAGGGGAGACCTATTGGTAGTGTGAATAAGCAAAAGAAACAGCAGCAGCCACCACCTCCACCTCCTCAACCTCTTCAGATACCAGAAGGTTCTGCAGATGGAGAGCCAAAGCCAAAAAAGCAGAGGCAAAGGAGGGAGAGAAGGAAGCCTGGGGCCCAGCCAAGGAAACGGAAAACCAAACAAGCAATTCCCATAGTAGAACCTCAAGAACCAGAGATCAAGCTGAAGTATGCTACCCAGCCACTAGATAAAACTGATGCCAAGAACAAGTCTTTTTTTCCTTACATCCATGTAGTAAATAAATGTGAGCTTGGAGCTGTTTGTACAATCATCAATGCTGAAGAAGAAGAACAGACCAAATTGGTAAGGAGCCGGAAGGGTCAGAGATCTCTGACTCCTCCCCCCAGCAGCACAGAAAGCAAGGTGCTTCCAGCTTCATCCTTCATGCTTCAGGGGCCTGTGGTAACAGAATCTTCTGTCATGGGGCATCTGGTTTGTTGTCTCTGTGGCAAGTGGGCCAGTTATCGGAACATGGGTGACCTCTTTGGACCCTTTTATCCCCAAGATTATGCAGCCACTCTTCCGAAGAATCCACCTCCTAAGAGATCCACAGAAATGCAGAGCAAGGTCAAGGTTCGGCACAAAAGCACTTCAAACGGTTCTAAAACAGACACTGAGGAGGAGGAGGAGCAGCAGCAGCAGAAGGAGCAGAGGAGCCTGGCTGCTCACCCTAGGTTCAAGCGGCGCCACAGGTCAGAAGACTGTGGTGGAGGCCCTCGGTCCCTGTCCAGGGGACTCCCTTGTAAAAAAGCAGCCACTGAGGGCAGCAGTGAAAAGGCTGCTTTGGACACAAAGCCCTCTGTACCTACCACTTCAGAAGGTGGTCCTGAGCTGGAGTTACAAATCCCCGAACTACCTCTTGACAGCAATGAATTTTGGGTCCATGAGGGTTGTATTCTCTGGGCCAATGGAATCTACCTGGTCTGTGGCAGGCTGTATGGCCTGCAGGAAGCGCTGGAAATCGCCAGAGAGATGGTGAGTAGGAGAAACCCCTTACCCGCTTGGGTTCTGCTTACTTCACTTTGGTTTTGTTTCTTATGGCTTATACTATTATGTTCTCATGAGTTTTTTTTCCTTGACCCAAATGATGAACAGGAGAGAAAGTGTTTTGGAAAGGTATAGCTTATATTTTCATCAGTAGTTTATCTATAGATTCTAAACTTATGTTTTTGGCTGTATAGCTTTAAGGAAACAAGGGTCCCTTTTGTACCCCTTCTCAACCTTGATTGCTGCTTGTTATGGGGTCATTCACTTTTAGCAGTGCAGCTTTCATAAGCAGGTCAACCAGTTTCTTAGTAACATTTTGCTGCTATTTATTTAGTTAATTTTTATAAATCATTTTCAACATGTGGTACTCACAAATTACACTATGATTATATTTCCTTTTTTCTAACGCATTCCACTGCTTTTAGGTCTTGTTTAGCTTAACTTGATTTGGTGAAGGGTAACCGAGACTTACCTTGAACTCACAATCCTCTTGTTTTTCAGCCTTCTAAGTTCTGGGATTGCAGATGTGAACCACCACACCCCACCCCGTGTTTGCTCTAGGTTACTAACTGCTCTCTCTCTCTGTCTCTCTGTCTCTCTGTCTCTCTGTCTCTCTCTCTCTCTCTCTCTCTCTCTCTCTCTCTCTCTCTCTCTCTCTCTCTCTCTCTCTCTCTCTCTCCCTCTCCCCCTCTCCCCCTCTCCCTCCCTCCCTCTTTTTTTCTTTTTGAGACTTTGTGTAGTCCTGGCTGTCTTGGAAGTAGCTCTGTAGTTCTGGCTTTTCTCAAACTCAGAGATCTGATTGCTTCTGCCTCCCAAATGCTGGGATTAAAGGCACAAGCTATCATTGCTTGACCTGCTTTCTTGTATTGACTTTTATTTAGAGGAACATCATCTGTTAGTTAAAGATGCACAGATTAAAATACACGGGACTTGGTTAAATATAGGTTAATTTTATTTGGGGAGAAGTCACTTACATAAGAAACAGGATGGCCTGCAAGTTCCCGCTCCAAGGATCCACATTCAGGCTGCTCTCTGAAATCCAACCTGAACCAAGAGAGTCAGCTGGGGTCTGGGACCTAGCCCTTCCCTGTCACTTCTGCACATGTGACCACGCCCATGAGGCGTGGCAACAAGTGAGGCCAGGTGGATATCTCACTACAGTTAGTAGTTTATTTTTGAACGTGTTTTAAAAGTTTGGTGGTTTCTGTTTTTCTTTATGACATTCTTTTTCCTTTTTTGTTTTTAAATGTGCATTGGTGTTTTGCCATGGGTGTTGGGTCCCCTGGAATGGGATTACAGACAATTGTGAGCTGCTTCCCAGGACTATAAGGAGGGAGCATAAAGGCCCTGGGATTTACTAACAGTTTTTGAAGATATTAGAGAGAGGAGTTTTTAGCAGTGAGTGATTATAGAACCTTAGAGAACTCAGATTAACTTTAATCCACACATTCTTCTAGGAATTAATCTCTTGGAAAATGATAATGTCATGTGGCCTTTCAGCCTATCTCTTACCCAGAAAAATACTACAAGAACTACCCTTTTAGGTTGTTGGATGAATGAGATCATCTCAAAAGTCAATAGACACTTAACAAATTGAGCATGGGAGTCAGGCATGGTTGCATATGTTTATAATCCTAGAACTTGAACTGAGGCAAAACAATCATGGTGAATGTCAGGCTGGCCTGGGTTACATTATGAGTTCCAGGCCAGCCTGGGCTACAAATGAGGCCTATTTCAAAAATCAAACAAAAAACCACCAGGCTGGCTCAATGAAATGCTTGCCATGCAACATAGCATAAGGACTTGAGTTTGAATCTCCAGTACCCACATAAAAGCTAGGTGCAGCAGAGCTGTCTGTAAGCTGGGGAAACAGAAACAGGCTGATGTCAGGGGCTTTCCGGCCAGCCAGTCTAGCAGAATTAGTAAGCTCCAGGTTCAGTGGGAGACCTTATATTTAAAAAGCAGATAAAGAAGGGCTAGAGAGATAGCTCAATGGTTTAAAGTACTGGCTATTTATCCAGAGGACCCACATTTGATACTCACATGACTGCACACAAGTATCTGCAACTGCACTGTCTGGGGATCGGATTGCTCCCCCCACAAAAAAAAAAGATGGAGAAAAAGACTGGATGTCGACCTCTGGCCTACTTACATGTGTATGAGTGCAAACAAACAGGCATGTACCATACATACAGGCATGAAAGAAACAGAACAAATGTCAGCAGGAGAGAGACATTTTAATCATTTCGAGTTTCTAACCTTGTCATGTTATTTGGAAATTTCCATTTTCTTCACCTGATGAAATACTCTTGGCCTTTTTCTTACTCTCTTCCTCCTGGGAGAATCTAAAACAGATTGAACTTGTAATCATTACCCTTGGAGCTGTGCAGTCTCCAAGTGTTATATTCTTAGTCTGCATTTGTAACACATCTTCCACTTTGGGCAGGGCAGCTACAGTTGACAAAATCATACTTTGAGAAAAATGGAGATGTCTTTTCAGAGAACATACTGTTGGTGAGTTGATCACAGACTTGAGCACCAAGCTGCTCTTGAAGATCTGGACCAGGCTTTTGCCTTCTGATAACAGGTTTCCAGGAAAAAAGGGTCTGGGATAAGAACACCTGTGAGTGTCAGAGTGACCTGAAATGTCCTGAATGTATGTCACATTATCACTTTAACAATCAAGTGACCTTTCCTAAGGTCTGACTAGGAGGCTGGGGGCAATGGTTAACCTTGGAGTGTAGGAACCATGATATATAGGCAGTTTTATTGTTAGTAGCTTAAATATGCTACCATTTCTATTTGGTAGATGGCCCCCAACATTTCAGTGTTGAATAATTCCAGCTGTGCAGTATGGGGAGGATGGACACTCATTCCTCATGCATCATTTAGCTCATATTACATAAGGGTGTGACTTTTAGGAGGTGATTATAAAGTCTTAGTTATTTAGATGAAAGTTACAGAGATGAGAGTGTTGGGGAGACAAACGCCTGGGCAAAAAAAAAAAAAAGAAATTAAATGCAAATATAAGTGCACAGAGTAAAAAAATAAAGGCTCTTAGTGTAGAAGGTTGGGATCATCTTTGGAGATTTGTGTTTCAATAGTGTCATCTTCACAGGTTAGAAATCTTTTGATTACAGGTGTCTTGATTGTGGCAGATAGTATGTCAAATCATAAACATCTCTATTTGGGTACCTCACAGATGAGCATTTGAGTTTTCTGGGCGTGTGTATTGAGCTCACAGGTGGGCTGAGCCCTGGAGAGAAGCAGTGCTATAGTCACTGCCCTGGTTAGTGATTTCAACCAAAGGATGGCTTTTTAGCTTCACAAAGCACAAAATGTAACCATTCGTTTAACCCAGCCAGAACACTGTTTTCCCGAAGGGTAAAAGAAAAATACGCAGCTTAGAATGGAAGGTTTTTAAGCTCTGTCTATAAGATGCATTTCTACACTTAGAAGATGCTATTCTCTCTTCATCATGGGGCAGTTGCTGGTTCCTGCTCCTGCTGGGTTCAGCCTTTTCTCAGGTTTGCAGAGGAAAAGTGCTAATTACTGCCTTAAACCTAGTCCTGCCTCTGGAGCCCTTCCTTTCTAACCTCTTAACATGGAAAAAAACTTATTTAGACAAAACATTTTCAGAGAAGTTGTGTGATTTTTCTTCTTGGACTGTAAATGAAATCCTGTGTGATTAAAATTATTTTTAACAAAGTGTATATACCGATGGGTAAGATAAAATACAAACCAACTAAAAAGCAAGCTAACTGGGTAGCCCCTGAACATCGCTAAGGTTCTGACAGTGTATTGGCATAACAGTATGGGTGCACTTTGTGCAAGAGAAACATGATTAAAACAAATCTTGTGAGTAATGTTTTAATACCTAGAAGGAATGGAGAATGGATTTAACTTACATTATTGTTAGTGGATGCATTTTGTTTGTGAAATTGCTTTAGATGGCTTTGTTTTTTCTTCTTAAAATATCATTGCTGATCCTGAAGACTATCAACTGTAGACAATTGGAGTTAGGGGATTGCAGAGCATTTAAAACCCACAGCAAGTGGCCAGTACCTGTGCCTACTATAATGGCAGTTGAAGTTCAACTCATGTATGATAATTATCAGCTTTCCCTTTTATGGACAACTTGTTGGGAATAATTACTGGTACTGGCCATAATCACACGTTATTTGTTTATCATCATTCATAGCATTTACCCTAAAGATGACTGAGCATAGGTAAAGGTATTGTGCATGACCTGCAAAAATACTTAGCACCTGGGGTTAGCCTAGTCACTAGAAGTAGTCCACTTTGCAAACCACCTACCTGTTCTCCCAGCCTGGTCTCTAGCTCCTGGAATGGAAAGTAACAGAAAATGACTAGAAATGCTACTGTTAGTTTTTGTTATCCAGTGTCTTTATACAACAAAAGATTACCCCCTCACTTTTCTCAGTTGGATATTTATCTCCATGTTTTTGACTTAAAGACAGACAAACATGTAAAAACATGCCAGGCTTATAAAGTTAGAGGCAAGGTCAAGTGTTAGTCCCCCTGGAGAAGTGCTGCTACCATGATCAGTTCAGCTCCCCATCTCAGTATGTACCTCTAATTCTTTCTGTTCTTAATCTGATCTTATTTTTTAATGAATCACCTTTTATTAATAAACTATGATTTTTTTTATTATTATCTTTTGAGACAACCTCCCTCTAATAGCCTTAACTATAACCAGGGTGGTCTCAAACTCAGAGGTAATCTGCCTGCCTCTGCCTTCTGAGTGATGGGATTTAAGCATGTGCCACCACATCCAGCACTTTATCCGTTTAGACTCTATATTTAAGGTAGAAAACAAGAAAGGTATCTCAGTACATGTATGGAAGGCACATATAAGAAATATCAGTTTAAAGTAACTGAAATGCTTGTTTCATGGAATTTGTATCTTCCCACGTAGCACTTGCAAACAAAGATTTAATTAGTTATTTTAAAAACATAGGGTCTCA